GGTGATGGGCTGGTGGCTGGTGAATTCTGACGATCGATGGATTTATTGAGGTCGGGTATGCACTGTGCAATGTCTGTGGTGCGTGTGGGGATGGGTGAGGATGGGTAGGGCCTACTGGATGTGTGATTGTGCAATGTCTAATTTATCCTTATGTGATGTATATAATCTCTAATTTATCCCTAATCAATGCAAATGTTTTTAGCATTTTCTTAACCATTGGATGATTAAATTTAATGGCTATGATTCATTCTTATTTCTTTCATTGAGCACCATTCTCACTTGAACCTAACCCTATATATAGAAGAGATCATATGAGAAAGGAATATAGTGAAAGAAATAAGAATGAATCTATACCATTAGATCAATGATATCATTGGACATGATTAAGTCAAACATTAATAATTCTGGTCAAACCATGATGGCATAGTTGTAAATTATGTACTTTTCATGGTCAAATGGATACCTCAAAGTGCACTAGTGTAATTTTAGTTTTCCCATAATTAAGTGGGTCCCACCAGAATTACATCTCCACCATCCCCATTAATTCATTTACAAAGACGCGGTCCACCCTCTCTCTCTCTCTCTCTCTCTCTCTCTCTCTCACACACACACACACACACACACACACACATTCAGCGACTCACACACATATTTCAAACGCACAGTCACATCCCCCGCCGTGCATTTCTGCCTCCTCAACCGCCGGCCTTTTTCGGCCGCCTGAGACCGGCGCCGCCGTCGCCGCCGCCACGATTACCTTTTCATTATGGCGACGCACCGCTCAAATCCAACAACAATAAGAACGTCTCCACCTCCCGCTACACCAACCAACGAAACCTTAGTGCCGTTTTTCACTGCTTTCACCGTGACGTTGCCGCCACCATGTCGCCGTTGTCGTGTATGTCTTATAAATTCCTATCCTGCTCTCAATTCCGACAGCGAGAGAAAGTTTGCCACCTCCAGCGACACCAATCTGTCAACCTTCAAATGTTTACCACTGTCCCAACTGCAGCGTCGCCGATACCGCCTAGCCACCGCCGTCATTCTCGTCCCCGACACAACGGCGTCGATGCTCGGCGAGATTAAAGTCCGATTTGTTCCTTTTTTTTTTGCTGATGAAATCCGTAAATGTAGCGATTGAACTCAAACGGAGGTGGATGAAGAGGACGGCGGGTGACCTTAAAGGCATCAATTGAACTCAGGCGGAGAGGATGAAGGTGGCTGTGATTTGGATTGTGGATTACCTTTTGAGAATTTGATATGTTTTAGGGGTTTATTTACAATTTATCCAAGTTTAGTTTATTTTAATTTAATACTTGGGTAAATGTGTAATATGATATTAGTTTAATTAATGCACTGTAATTTTTAATATTGTATTATTTAATATTTTATTTTTATCTTTTGATTAAAAAATAGTATATATGTAAAGAAATCTTGCAGTCTAACATTTATTAAGGTGCAACTCGTTCAACACTATAGTGCACTGTCGGTATGTATTGTGCATAGTGAACCAAACGATTTTTTTCCTAAACAAATTGAAGTTGAACATAATTAATTGGTTTATCTGGTTCGAATAATCGAATTATACTAAATAATCAAAATATTTTTGTTTATCTATATTACAAATATATTTAATACGTTATAATTTAATTTATACTTTTATGTTATTTCTGATTAACAACAAAAAAGTGAATTCGGTCGATTTTGATCTCCGTTGTGCAATCTAATAATCGTGATAAAGTGCAACGCTTTGTTTTATAATGTGAAACATGATGTTTTATAAAGTGCAACGTTTTGTTTTATTAAGTGCAATGTGATGTTTTATAAAGTGCAACAATT